TAGATTCTTCCTCTTACTCTCAGTAGAAACAGAGAAATGGAAACAATTGGGTCTTAGACAAAGACACTTCAATCGCATTCTCAGCCGGCGACGGCATAAAAAGAATACAACAAACATTGTCAGGAGTGGGGTTCGAACCCACGCTCTCTTTCGAGAACCAGAGCTTAAATCTGGCGCCTTAGACCGCTCGGCCATCCTGACGACGGAAGAGCGATAGGATTCCTAGATTCTTCCTCTTACTATCAGTAGAAACAGAGAAATGGAAACAATTGGGTCTTAGACAAAGCCACTTCAATCGCATTCTCAGCCGGCGACGGCATAAAAAGAATACAACAAACATTGTCAGGAGTGGGGTTCGAACCCACGCTCTCTTTCGAGAACCAGAGCTTAAATCTGGCGCCTTAGACCGCTCGGCCATCCTGACGACGGAAGAGCGATTGGATTCCTAGATTCTTAATCTTACTCTCAGTAGAAACAGACAAATGGAAACAATTGGGTCTTAGACAAAGACAGTTCAATCGCATTCTCAGCCGTGGACGGCATAAATAAATACAACAAACATTGTCAGGAGTGGGGTTCGAACCCACGCTCTCTTTCGAGAACCAGAGCTTAAATCTGGCGCCTTAGACCGCTCGGCCATCCTGACGACGAAAGAGCGAGAGGATTCCTAGATTCTTCCTCTTACTCTCAGTAGATACAGAGAAATTGAAACAAATGGGTCTTACACAAAGACACTTCAATCGCATTCTCAGTCGTGGACGGCATAAAAAGAATACAACAAACATTGTCAGGAGTGGGGTTCGAACCCACGCTCTCTTTCGAGAACCAGAGCTTAAATCTGGCGCCTTAGACCGCTCGGCCATCCTGACGACGGAAGGGCGATAGGATTCCTAGATTCTTAATCTTACTAGCTTGTAGAAACAGAGAAATGGAAACAATTGTGTCTTAGACAAAGCCACTTCAACCGCATTCTCAGCCGGCGACGGCATAAAAAGAATACAACAAACATTGTCAGGAGTGGGTTTCGAACCCACGCTCTCTTTCGAGAACCAGAGCTTAAATCTGGCGCCTTAGACCGCTCGGCCATCCTGACGACGGAAGAGCGATAGGATTCCTAGATTCTTCCTCTTACTATCAGTAGAAACAGAGAAATGGAAACAATTGGGTCTTAGACAAAGCCACTTCAATCGCATTCTCAGCCGGCGACGGCATAAAAAGAATACAACAAACATTGTCAGGAGTGGGGTTCGAACCCACGCTCTCTTTCGAGAACCATAGCATAAATCTAGCGCCTGAGCTAAATCTGGCGCCTTTTGACCGCTCGGCCATCCTGACGACGGAAAAGCGATAGGATTCCTAGATTCTTCCTCTTACTTGTACAAAGAAGAAATGGAAACAATTGTCTTTAGAAAACCTCTAATCGCATTCTCCTCGACGCATAAAAGAAAATACAACAAACATTGTCATAAGAACCAGAGAATCGTTTACTATCCCATTTGTAGCTTTGTTGCATTTTAAAATTATGTAATAAGAAAACGTGTTAAAAAAATTAAAATTTTCTTCGAGTCTATAAGATTTTGACATGAACAATTCATGCTTCTCTAGTCTAGAATAAGCTTCTTAAACTATTAGGATTTCAATTCTCCGGTGAAATTCTTCCGTTATTTTATATACTTGTAAATATTTTATACTCTGACCTGTATATGCTAACTGGAGTCAGAGGTATTAAACTATTTACAGAGTATTTACAGAGTAGAGGTATAAAATTATTTATTTAGAATTTTTATTGATGATAGAAATGAAGACTAGGAAAATCCACGGACGTTCTAAAGAGACCACAATTTGCATCTTTCAATGATTTGAAAGGGAAAGGAATTTCTTGTTTTTCCGCCAGAAAAAGATTTCATATTAGCCATCTCTTATAAAACGAAAGGGAATGTTCTCCCATCGACTTCTCATACACTCTCACAATACTTCTGTTTCTACTTTCTGTTTAGCTTTGTCTTTTTGTGAAGGGTATCGAGTGTTGAATTTTGAACAATACTCCTTCCCGTTTAAAATTCTTCCGTGTACCTGTTTCCATGTCCAAAATTGGACTCTGATGTACTATTTGGATCAAGATCTAATGGTGCCGAGTCGGAGTCAGTCGCCCCCTACTTATTGCTGGAAAAATTAAATTTTCATTTCCTTTTAGGTGCCTCGAACTAAGAATTATTAAAAAGCAATAGTGTCCGGAAAGTAAGCTAAGTTTATAGCGAAATTTTGTTGTCTAGCCTATACTCCCGGGTATTTTTAGATGTTTATAAATTTTTTGCCCCTTACTTTTTCTACCCAATCGCTGCCACTGACAAGATCACATACTAAAATTCGTGCTTCTAACTCGCTACCTACCTGTTTACTTTCTCGTATACGAAGTATGCAAAGAGAAAGTATTGTAATCGTCGAAAACTTCGAACTTGATATTTTTTCCTCCCTGAGTTCGAAAAACACAATTTTGAAATTATGTCTGACTGTGAATACGATAACTCAAAAACGGTTAGGGCTGGAGGGATGAGATTTGGTATGTGACCTTTAAACATAATTTGTAGGTGTCTGTCAAATTTTGAACAAAATCCGTCCACTAGAAGTATGTCTGTCCATATTCATGTGAATAGGACAATTCATAAACTTAAATAGCTGGATGGATAAAATTTGGTAGGCAGTTTTATCATCAGTCCGTATTAAATTTTTACCAAATCTGTCAAAGGGTTTATTGTCTTTCGGTCTGTATAATCGCATACCTGTGAATACGACAACTCCTAAACGCTATGAGTTAGATAAATAAAAATTTGTATGAGGTCCGCCAATATTAATTGTAGATCCATGCTCAATTTTCGTTTCAATCGGTTGACAAAAAGGCGTACAAATTGCATATTCGGTTCAAATTGCGTATTGCTATCGTGCACTGGTGCAGTTTACAGCGGCCAAGCGGTTGTTTACAGTATGATTTCCTTTCGGAATGTATGGTAAAACTATAAACTTATGTTACTTTTTGCTTCTTAGATGACGACGGACAACAGAAACTGACTGTTAAACGAGTGAAAGCTAATCGAAGTTTTACTGTATTATTTTATTAATCAGAATCATAAGCATTGCTTTTATGTATTTATTCTACCAACTAAGAATATTCACCTCCAACAGGAAATTTTTAAAAAATAAGATTTGTTTTTTTTTTAAATATTTTATCACCTTAGGTGCACTGATAAAAACTGGAAATAAATATCGAATGAACAAAAAGTAATTCTTCGGTGCATGTATTCGTACTCTCGGACTTACTGGTATTGGAGTAAACATTCCTCGTTTTTTTCTGTAAGCCTTCTTCCGGCCGATTTTAATTCACTTTTAACATAAAAACACATGCTACGGAATCAATATTTTCATTTCCTTGTTTCTTTAACTTTTCTCACGTCCAATCAGATTGATGTTAAGTCTAAGAATTTTATTTATTCTACCAGCCAAGAGTATTTAAATTGAACAAGATATTAACAAAAAATAAGTTTTTTTACTTTTTAAGATAGATTTTATAAATTAGATGAATAGATTACAAACGAAAATAAATATCAAATAAGCAGTAAGGAACACTTCGGTGCGTATATTCGTGCTCTTGTACTCGACTGGTATTGGAATAAACATTCCCTATTTTCCTCTGTAAGCCTTCTTCAGACTCATTTTAATTCACCTTTAAGAAAAAAACACATGCTACGGAATCAATATTTTCTTCATTTCCTTGCTCTTTAACTTTTCTCGTCCAATCAGATTGGATTAAGTTCAGAATTTTATTTATTCTACCAGCCAAGAGTATTTAAATTGAACAAGATATTAACAAAAAATAAGTTTTTTTACTTTTTAAGATAGATTTTATAAATTAGATGAATAGATTACAAACGAAAATAAATATCAAATAAGCAGTAAGGAACACTTCGGTGCGTATGGTTCAAAGTTTCACTGACTGGTATTGAATAAACATTCCCCTCATTTTCCCTGTAAGCCTCTTCAGACCTTACTTTAATTCACCTTTAAGAAAAAAAACACATGCTACGGAATCAATATTTTCTTCATTTCCTTGCTCTTTAACTCTTTTCTCGTCCAACTGTGATTTGGATTACTAAGTTCAGAATTTTATTTAATTTTACCAGCCAAGAGTATTTAAATTGTCAAGATATTAACAGGCTCAGTTTTACTTTTTGTGATAGATTTTATAAATTAGATGAATAGATTACAAACGAAAATAAATATCAAATAAGCAGTAAGGAACACTTCGGTGCGTATATTCGTGCTCTTGTACTCGACTGGTATTGGAATAAACATTCCCTATTTTCCTCTGTGTTTCCTCTTCAGATCTTCATTTAATTTCACCTTAAGAAAAAAAAACACATGCTACGGAATCAATATTTCTTCATTTCCTTGCTCTTTAACTTTTCTCGTCCAATCAGATTGGATTGTTCAGAATTTTTTATTTATTCTACCTCAGCCAAGAGTATTAAATTGAACAAGATATTAACAAAAAATAAAGTTTTTTTACTTTTAAGATAGATTTTGGTAAATTAGGATGAATAGATTACAAACGAAAATAAATATCAAATAAGCAGTATGAACACTTCGGTGTGCGTATATTCGTGCTCTTGTACTCTCGACTGGTATTGAATAAAACCTCTATTTTCCTCCCAGTTTCCCTCTCTTTCAGACTCATTTTATTCACCTTTAAGAAAACACATGCTGTTGAATCAATATTTTCTTCATTTCCCTTGCTCTTAACTTTTCTCGTCCAATCAGATTGATTAAGTTCACAGAATTTTATTTATTCTACCAGCCAAGAGTATTTAAATTGAACAAGATATTAACAAAAATACAAGTTTTTTTTACTTTTAAGATAGATTTTATAAATTAGATGAATACTACAAAACGAAAATAAATATCAAATAAGCAGTAAGGAAACACTTGGTGCGTATATTCGTGCTCGGTAATTTTGACTGGTATTGGAATAAACATTCTTATTTTCCTGTGCTCCTCTTCAGACCCATTTAATTCACCTTAAGAAATCAATATTTTCTTCATTTCCTTGCTCTGTAATTTTTCTCGTCCGATGAGATAGAAAACTTCCTTTCCGGCTGAAAAAAGGCTCGCTCCGGTGCTGAAAAACAAATAATAATGCGATTAACAAGAGATTCTTTTTCCTCCTCGTCTCGAAAAAGTTATCCGTTCGCCGCCCTCTACAAGAAAAGGGAAGAAAAATGTGTTTTCCAGGATGCCGCGAAAATATTCGGGATCGGAGGTAAACAAGTTAATCAGCGTGATTTCAGCTTCCGATATAATTCGGCATGCGCCTATTAAATAATTCTTTTACATCGAAATAAGTTAGAATCTCGAAATCACTTCTTCAGCATTCAGGTAATATCTGTGGTGAAGCAACGTTTATGACGATAGTCGTCGGTTGTGAACCGGTGTCATAATTTCAATTCTATTAAATATTTGGGTCGAAATACAGGCAAATTATGTTGTAACTGTGCAAATGTGATGTATGAAATGATTTTTAAGAGAAAGCGTTAATAGTTAGTGAATAAGTGTTTAGATTTAGGTATCGTTAATTAAACATTTTAACAAAAGGCAAAACGCCCTAATGTTGATTTAAATTAAATTATGTTTTAGTAGGATTACGTTTTATCACTTCCTCAGGAAATTTGCTTTGCTACAATTTACTGCAATAATTTTACTTAAATAGTTTAAAGATAAAGTTAGGGGAGGGGGGTTGTTGTGCTGTCCAAAAGTTGCCTAGATTGGATCGCAAACAGTTGCTTAAACTCTTTGAACCCGGCTAGAGTGAGAATTCAAGTGCCTCAAAAACTGGAGTCAATTTTCATTCGTGAAATCAGAATGAAGTCCTCCCTTTCTCTACAGAAATTCCAGGAGGACGACACCTCTGTTGCGCGATCAATTGTCAACAAAGAAAGAAACTAATTTTCTCCCGTAAAATTCACCCAGGCGCCAGAAACCGCCCGTGTCGAATGAGGCGGGATAGGGCTCATAGGGTTAATTGAACTGTTAAAATCCAGGGTATTATTATCTCGAACCACAGGCTGCTTTATCTTTATATTTAACTCAGAAAGCAGTTATCACCACTAGTAGTCATCATAAATTGGAAGTGGAACAAGCCAAAGCAAGAAAAAGGATACTAAAGCCAACAAATGTTGTATTAAAAAAAACTAAGGTAACGCGTGATTTGTATCATTTATGAGGAAACAAAATAAGAAGAAGAGAAGTGGTAAATCGTGCTTGGGCCCTTGCATTGTGTGCTGGTG